CTCGGCCGGGCAGGGGCCCGCCGGCCCTGGGGAAAAAGGACTTGGGGTGCCGCCGCCAGGCAGGCAGGCGGGAACCGGGCAGCATTAAAGGTGTTAGGGAATTTGTAAGTAGCTGGTTTGTTGAGCGCCAGGCAGGAAAAGACCACAGTAGCTTTCGCATCGGGAAGCGGAGATGGCTTGTGTGGTTTCTATGATGAACAAATACCTCACCCTGTCTGTTTCAGTTTGGTTTAACGTTTATGCTCTTTCACGAGCTACCATTAATTGCCCCGGCTAAACGTTGAAGTTAAAAGCATGTCCTCTGGATGGACTGCAGTTTTCCTGCCAATGTTAAGTGAACTTCTGGGAAAATTAATGCCAGTATGTAGTTAGCACACAGCTTAATGCTGATCTTTTTCTCAGTAGGGAAAACAAGTGTTCATCGTTTGTGGGATAACTTATGATAATGGGCAATATCTGATGTTTCAAGGTAGTTATGGTTTCAAGACAGAACTTTGTGGTGAATGCATTGCTATAATTTTTGTGTGATAACAGCTCATCATTTTAGATGCTCTCCAAGAGCCAGTGTGTCGCAAGTAGACTTAACAGCAAAGATCCAAGAGCATGAGAGCTTCGAGTGTCTTTTTCTACATATACTTATAAAAAGTGGAAGTAATTTATCCCTGAAACTTAGCCACACTGCTGTCCTGAGCTGCTGCTCACCGTTTCTCAGAACTGAACCTTATATCAACATTAGAGCCGTTTTATAGCAGGATCACTTTATGTTCTAAGGAAACTTTCCCTTTGGGCTAGAAAACATATCTTATGCACACGTGTGCTCAGATTGACAGCTCTGATTAGTTCTAGTTAAGCTAAGGGGACCAGGACTGATGAGGGAGGGAGCAGGAGGGAGGTGTAGTTGATTTGATCCATAAAATAAATATTCTCCAGCACATCAAACAATCAAATTATTTAAGTAACTTGTCCTTTTCATATATGTAGTGTTCAAAATAGTGGCTTAACTGTTGATAATCAGTGGCAATGAAGCCCGATTAACTAAAGAAATTGTGAGGTAGACAGTGAATAGTAGTATCTTTTTGTATATATTGCACAACATGAACAATGTTATCATAAAACCAGAAAAGAAAAATGACCATTAAATTGTTTAGAACTAAAACTCCACAGTCAAGAAGAATAAAAGCTGAAGTTAAAAATCACAGCTGAAGTGCCCTTTACAGTGTCCTGATGTTGTATGGAAGCTTATTTAAAAAAAAAAAAAAAAATTGCTGCTTGTGTCAAGGTTTGAGGGTATGCATAATACTTTAAAATTGACACAGGTGCTTCAGAGAATATTGCCAAGTTGTCATGGATACTTAGACTTTTTTAATGCCACTTTGTGGTCATATTTAAGATAAATGTCCTTTTGAAAATAAATGATTATATTTATTTTAGAAGAATAGTAAATACACTCACTAACACTGATTTGCTGACAACTGCATTCAGAATAGCCATATTTTTGTAGTAAAAGAGCATAAACTCTCAGCTAGTAATGATTTTAAGGTAAATAAAATTGGGTAAATGTATGCATATATACATATATATTTTACAATATCTGAATCAGTGGAACTCTTTCCTGTGGGTTGATCTATAAGGATAGAATACTCAGCAGGGTTTTATGTGAATCCAAAAATGTAAGCCACTCCCTTATCTTATATTTCTGTTGTGTGCATATTCAGAGATCGTATATACTATTGCTACTTAGCAGCTCAGTCCTGTGCTCCTGCTGTCAGGAGCCACAAACTACACATTTCCACCTAGTGTGCGGTATAAAAAGCCATAGGTGAACTAGGAGCATGATTAATACTCCCCTAGGCAGTCAGATTGCATATATAAAGCAGTAGTGGCATCTTACTTTTGGGAGCAAGATGGAAGGCCTGCTACCTTTTCTAATTCCGAGAGATTCATAATTAGAGAGGAATTTATTTATTTTTTTTTTCTGAGTGGGTTCGGACTTATGTTACCCACCTCACTTGACCCTTTCCTCAGTCCGATTATCAGGCTTTTCTGCGGACAAGAGGGACAGAGTTCTTGACTTCTGAGAGAATGACTTCAAGATGTAGCAGTTGGGCTGTGCAGGTGAAAGTGGGGAAGCTCATGTTCTGTTCTCTGATCTTGATGCATGTTTCATAAAGTGTTTTAATGCAGAAATTGTATGTGTATAAACGCGCACACACACACGTATATGAGATTATCATTTTAAATGCAGGTAAACTACGGCTTCTTTTCTACTCCAGCTCAGTTTGCGGGGGAGGAGTGGAATTTAGACTGGAAAAGGCTTTAAGGTTGCATTATTAAAATTTAGATGAAGCATTTTACAGTACAACCCTTGGGCTCTAAATACCAGTGACAGATGCAATTTAAGGTACAGCTACTGCCTGTGTCTCTAGCTTAGATGGCTCCCTCTGTGGTTAGCATGCTAGCTTTTGATAGTAACCTCCAAATGTTATTCACAAGTAGCTGTCTCTCTTGGAGACAATGCATCTAAAAGCTTGATGCAGTGACTAAGCACTTTTAAAAATGTAATCGGAACAGGAAGCAGAGCTAGTTATTTACGTCCACCTCCTCGCCTTCTTACATATGTGTACACACATATACATATAGTTATGTTTGTAAACTTAGTGTATTGGAGTTGAATAGGAGGTGTAATTTATGCCCCCAAAATACGTATCCATGTATAGTTGGAATTATTCTTAGCCGTTTTCTGGAATTAAATATTGTGTCTCTGAGAATTGTGCTCTTCTCATACAGGTGCAAGGATTGAGCAGCAAAATGTAGATGTTCCATTGATTTCCTTTATAAGCACTCATCAGTTCAAAGATGGAGGGTTTCCAACAGCTTTAATATAACAGAATTATAGTTCTTTCATATTGGTTATTCTTTAGCCCTTTCTCATTGTTTCAAAGGGGATGAACAGTGAGGGTAAACACCTCGGGACTGCCATGAAAACAGTTTTCTTGGTTGGAAGATGAGAAAAGGCTGCACGTTTGTTTTTTTTTTTCTGTACTGTTAAAGGGTGAAGGAGACTTCCTGCCACCCTGGAAAGGGAAAGATCATATTGGCAGAGCATATTAAAAAACAGTAAGAACTGACCAATATCCAAAAAATCAATCTCTTTCTTGGTAGGAAAGAGATCCTCTTCCTGTGCCTGCCACTCTGAAATCCATAGCAGTAGTTAAAAAGGCAAGTAGACTATGAGACAGTAGTGGGAAAGGAGAACCGAAAAAAAGTAGATTACCGTTGCATATATCTTCAGTGTTGTGTGCGGTTCCGGTGACCCCATCTCAAAAATGATACAGAGTTAGTAATAGCTATAGACAGGGACCACTAGAACACCAGAGTTACAGGATACCTTCTATGCAAGAACTGGCTAAGTAAAATAGGATAAATTTTTGAGGCATGAAGTATATGAAATCACAATTGGTATGGAGACTATGCATACACAATAGTTGCGTTATTTCTGTACTATGATAATACAAACGAACTCAGAAGGACCTCAGCTGCCTGAAAAGTCATGGCAGATAAGTTTCATACACTTAACATCCTTAAATCACCAGTTGTTGAGAAGAACCAACCAAGAAAGGACTCGCTCTCTGGGTTTGTCATATTCCGCCTCTGGCTGTTCCCTGGAGACAGGATGCTGGGTCAGATGGATTTCTGCTGCAGCCCAATAAGTCAGTTCTTAAAGTAATGATTTTGTTATTTGTCAGGAGATGGAAACAGAGATCAGATTTATATTAAGCTATCGCAGAGCTTTAAAGACGTGTAGATTTCTGCTAGCTTAGCTAAAAGGATAAACATACCTGTTGAATGCAACCTGTAAATGTGGATGCAGAAAGAAAGATTTATGTTGGCAGTCACTGTACAGTAAAGCTCTTGAACAGAATTGAAGCTGAGCACATTGCTCAAAAGCATGGTTCTGTTTTGATATACATCACTTTCATGCATCACACGATTTAGTTATTTTCTAAAGGAGATGTTCTAACAGAGACTAAAGAATACTTCAGCAAGAGGGGAAAAAAAAAGCTATGAATAACTGAGATCTGTAGTTTGTTTAGAATGGTGGTGATCTGTGTTCTGTAGCTAAATAGAGCTCTTGAGGACTACTATGTAGTGGTCTCTCCAGATTCCCATAGGCTCAGTATCTTGTTTGGTGAAGGAAGCAAAGACTACATGATCCGGACCGTCTTTCCCCTCTAATAGCTTCTGAAGCTGAGTTGTGTCAGCTAGGCTTGTTAGAAGGGAATCTCATCTGTCAGAAATCTGGCAGCAGAACAGAAACTAATAAAAAGTGCCTTTGCTGAGGGGAGGGCTGCAGCTCCTTCCTTAATAGATATCAAAGAATCTACAGGAAGAGTTTTGTTTTATTTAACCTTAATACAGATGTTTGGACAGATCATAACTTATTTTAACTCTTGATAACATGTTTGACTGCAGGCATGAATCAGAGCAAACCGTTTGCATTAGGCTTTTACAGAACATTGTAGTTCAAATGATGTTGCTCTTGAGCAGTTTGTTCCCATACCTTGGCATATGTTGCACTGCTCTGAGTTTAAATTCTGAATGAGAATTTTGTATTAAGTTTATAAGTTGTGAATTATAGGCAGATGGAAGCTTTCTCTTCCTACACTTGGAGCTAACCTGATGAGCCCATGTTAATTGTTTCCTGCCCTTCACATACTCAAGCCATATACAAGATAGAGAATGCAATCTAGTGACTACAGTCACCTCAGGGCGTAGAGTGAAGACATGGCTGCTCAGGATATATTACGTCATGGTAGCTTAAGTTTGGTTTCTTTTTTTTTTTTTTTTTAAATTAATGAGCTACACTATTAAAGACAAATAATTTTGAATAAGCCAGATTAACACTTATGGTCGTCTTATCCATCCACTGGTATTTGCCATTCTTGGCAAACCCGTACTAATGTCTTCATCTTCCCTCTATTGGAAGAGTTTCAGTGCATTAAGTGCTTTTGAGAAATCTTCTGACTCTGTTCAGATGCCTAAATACATGCAGCAAAGCAAAATCTTATGTGAAACTTTTTTTCTTATTAAATAGCTAGGTAGACTTTTAACCTCTTTGGAAAACCTGTAAAACCTGAAATCTACTTGTTTGGAAGCATCATGTTTTGAGTATCTGTTTTTTCCTTTCTTTTTGCCTGGCAGTAGTGGTCCACCTCAGTGTTAAATTTCTTTGAGGTAGAAGCAGAACTTTTAGACCTGAATAGGGTTTTGAAGTTGAGGTGGAACAAGGTTGCAAAATGAATGCCACACCAACTACTTGACTTATTAATCACAATTTTTTTCCCTACCATTGTAAATGAATGACTTTTTCCTGTTATAGATTGATTACACAGGAACAGAGCCTTCTAGTCCCTGCAACAAATGTTTAAATGTGTCCTGGGATAGCACACCACCTTGTACTTGCACTATTGATTTCACACTGGAACATTCATTTGAGGTATGTTGCCTTGTATACAAAGTAGAATTAGAATGGTTTAATTTGGTTTATTTGGTAATTGATAAAAGTGCTACCTCACTTACGTTTTTTTTTTTTCCTATCTGAAAGTACTATTTCTAGTTGTCTTGTTAACTTGGATTTGATAGGCTTTGCTTTTATGTGTTTGTTTTTGTACCCCTTTTCAGCAGGGGGTGAAATGGACGTTAATGTCTCTATCCAGAAATGCATAATATTAACAGGAATGTTTCTGTTGTATACATGTAGATTTACCATCTGTGTACTTGGTATGTGTCATATAGTTAGCCGGTAGACCAGATATTCTTGCATGACTTAGAAAAGCTGAGTTCAGCAAGATTTGGAAAAATCAGGTAAGTGTTTTCTGACAAATTGGAGGCAAACAATGAGGCTTAAGTGCTTAGCATTGGACAAGTGCTGGAATGTAGCACTGATGAACGTCTTAAGAACAATGATATTTTATGGCATGTTGATGCTGTTTGACTTTAGGATGCCAGCTTACATTAGGATAGTACTCTTCATGTACTGTCAGTGGGAAGAGAGAGTTGAGGCTCCTAATATATTAATGTTGCTGTAAAATAAACACAAAATGTAAGAGGTTAAAATTTCAGCTTTCTTTCAATCACTGTTGTAATGTATTTCATTGATCTCTGTCTTTGCATGAATGAAAATCCATTTTGCTCCATCTTGTTGTAGAGCAATGTATTCATGTATTACGGACTTTCCAACTTCTATCAAAACCATCGTCGTTACGTGAAGTCTCGAGATGACAGCCAACTAAATGGAGATAACAGTTCATTACTTGTAAGTATTTATGCCCGGATATTAATAAGCAACTAACTTCTGACTGTTGCATAAATCACCACCTACCAGAGTATATATTCTAATAATACTTAGATACTAGATTTTTTTTTTCCGTAATGGAAGACAATGTTGAGGAATTGGTATTTTGGTTACGGGAAAAGACTGTGTAACATACTGTGGTAATTTATGGTAATAATTTCATTCAGTGTATGGCAGTGCTGTACCTGGAACACTTCTCAGTGTTAAATAGTGTAAATCTGATGTGTTTATCTTCAGCCGGTAAGATCTGCTATCTTTATCCATTCTGTTTGAAGTTTTGATTTTTCACTGTAAAATAATTTTAAGTTACTTTGGTCCAGTGCAGCTCGGTGTGCCTGCTTTTGTAGACTCAGGTTCAATACTGAACTTCAGCATTATTAGGAAATATCTGTACTATGTATTCTGTTCAAAACTGTGTAATGTTTAGGGCCAGACCACTTCTCTTTCCTAATTTTTAGGAGGACTGCTGGTATATTTGGGTCTTCTGAGTTCTGGCTATGTGACTCCAGCCAGAACTCTTTTTTTTCTCTCTCTCACTCTTTTTTTTTGTAACTGTTGTAAAAGGGAAGAGTTCCAGGAGTTCATAGCTGATGACTGACACAGGGTTTTGGGGGTCTTTTTTGCTTGCGCTTTTGCCATGTTACTGGAATCCTTGCAACTTTTTGCATTTTATATTATGCTTCCTCCCTCTCCCCCAAAGTCAGTTTTCTCTAATACTGACTCGCACTTTGTATGAGTACTTGAGTATTCTTGATGGGGAAGCTGCATCTATCAAAGGATTAAAACAGAAGAGTTCTAATAGATGGTTTCCCTTAAGAAAACAAATGCAAAACTCTTCTTTTTTCGTATGGCCTTTGTAGGATTCCGATTTTATTTAGTTTTTATTCCTACTTGAAAAATCATTGTGCTATCTAGTATTGAATATTAAAGTATTTTTAAATAAAATGACTTATCAAAAGATTACCTTGTGGTAATTTAAGATGTGCGGATTATTGAGGTATTGTAGTAAAAACAGAGTTAATTGGATAAACTAGCACAGACTTACCTGCCTCTTTTTCTTTCTAAACATCAGAATCCGAGTAAAGAATGTGAGCCCTACCGCACAAACGAGGACAAGCCCATTGCTCCTTGTGGAGCTATTGCCAACAGTATGTTTAATGGTACGGTAACACCTTTAAATTAGCACTTAAATGTTTTCATGAACTAGTGTGTGTTTCATATTGTGTTGGAAATTAATCTGAGTAAAAACATCACGATCTTTCCTTTTGAATTAATTGTTCACTATGAACAGATATCTTGTGCTTCACTGTTGTTGCTTTTTTGTTTGCTTTTTGAAAATCCTGTTAGAATTGAGCTAATCTGATAGCACACAATGAATGGAAATACGTGTTGTGAGACGCTGTTACAAGTATGGAATAGACATAGAGATATTCTATGTGTATTAGATAGTTTATTATACATATATATTCTTACAGAATAGTTTGTGGTTGTGGCGGGCAGGTGATACATGTCTTGTCTAGTTTTTTTGTTTCTCCTGGAGTTAGTTTTGCTGCCTGGGAGGATCATCTGACAAATGAAACTGTTTTGTTTTATTTTTTTTGTTGTTCTTTTTTAAAGCTGATTTTCTAATTTGAGCTTCTCCTTAGATACGTTGGAGTTATACCGCATTGATAACGATACAAGGATTCCTATTACTTTGATTAAAAAAGGCATTGCATGGTGGACAGATAAAAATGTAAAGTTCAGGAATCCTTCAGGAGATACAAATAACTTAACTGCACTTTTCCAAGGTAAGGAAGATGTGGAATTTTCAAGCACGCTGTGATTCAACCTGAATTTTACCTCACTGATAACATTTTAATGAACATAAAAATACTGTGGTTCTGTGAAGAAAACCAAGTTAAAGACTACTCTAGAAAGGTTTTCTGTAAATAATGAAAGATACGAACTTAATGTGAAAGTGTGTTTAACTTTTGTGAATTCATTTAAATTGTGAAACTAGGACTTGTTTTTATTCTGTGTATTTTTAAGTTCCAGAGAACTTCTTTCAGTCAGTGGCTTATCATCAATTCAGGCCTGTTATTCTTATTTTATATGTTATGGGTAATCCAAATCTCTACGATGCTTTATTGTACTTATATAGGGGAGATGGGAAGCTTGTTTCATTGCAGTACAGAGAAGTATTAGCTTGACCAAGTTTTTTTAGTAATAAGCATTACCTGTCAGGTGTGCATTCAGTCTTGATAAAATGACTGAGCTGAAACTAATCAAACACATATTTGAATAGAAAACTATTTTTGAAAGGCTCGTAGTTTTTCTGGTTTCCTTATGTCCTTTGTGGCAGTTGTTCTTTAGTTTTTGCTTTGTCTTTTCTGTGACAATCTGGCAGCTAATTCCTATTTTATATTGCGGTGGTTAAAGGGTTGCTGGGTTAAACGATATTTCTAGTTGCAGTTTGGGTCATTAAAAAATCAAAGTAATATTTTGTGTGAACTTTAACTTCTGATTTTTATTCCACTTGAAGACTGAAAATCGTCTAATATGCTTACTGCTGTAGGGTTTGGATTTAACTCTAAAATACATCCTACAATTGTTTAACTAAACTCTATATATAGCACTTACATTTAAATGTGTCTACTGGTAGATTGTGCATAGTTTTCTAAACAGCTGATGTTTTTTGTGATTAGAAGTGACTAAATTCTATCTTGGTTATTGGGTTAAAGTTTGGTAAACCAAAATTATCTTTGGCTAACAATGTCTAAAAGTAATCTTCCTCGGGGCTTTGAGGTGTGTGTATGTATGCAAGGTATCTAATAGCTTCTGGTTTAACCTGATGTGGGTTAATTGCTTAGTCGCAGCCAAATTATATGTTACCAAAGTGATGCTACCCTTAGAATGGCAAATAGCTTTCCCTAATACAGATGCAGAATTATATTTGCAATAGATTTAGGAAAATGGTGTATAAGGCACTAGCATGACATCATTTGAAATAAAGTGTGTAACTTTATTTGCTAATGGTCCGAAGTGGTAGTCAAACTGTAACAACTGAGCAGAGGAATTACAGTCACAATTATCTCACTAAGGTAGACCAATATTTTGAGACGAGACTTCGTAATCTATATAAACAAATTCTCCTCCCCTACGTGTTTAATCTAATGAACAGTGCTGGCATGAGAATAAATGGATATGCATTATTTAAGCTGCAAAAATAAAAAGTTCTTAAGCAGTCCAGCAGTCTGCAGTGGGAGTGAGCCAGCCTGTCTGTTCATGCTTGTTAGAAGCTAATCCGTGTTTTTTTGTAATATCGGAATAAATTTTGATGACCCAATGTGTCATTTTGAGTCGTGTTTGAAATGCATTTTATTGCTGTTTTTGTTTTTATTTAATCTTAGGCACAACAAAGCCTGTAAACTGGCCCAAGCCAGTGTATATGCTGGACTCAGAGCCTGACAACAATGGCTTTATCAATGAAGACTTTATTGTGTGGATGCGTACTGCTGCTCTGCCTACGTTTCGCAAGCTATATCGTCTCATCGAAAGGAAGAATAACTTACAGCCTACCTTACAGGCTGGAAAATATTCTTTGGATATCACTTACAGTATTTTTTAAAAAAAAAAAAAAAAAAAAAAAAAAGCTTTCAGAGCTGCTAATGGCATTAACTGGATTACATGGGTATATATTTGTGGAAGTTCAAATTGAACTAGCCTTACTTGCTAGGATCTCTGGAACGAAATGGTAATGAACAGCGATGGAAAAGTGATACTGAGCGTTGCATAGAATAATTACTGTCTTGTACTTCTGTGTGAGTTTATAGAATCAGGTTGCATGCATTCTGTTAGATTAAATTCAGTCTGTTTTTTAGGCTTCATAAATGCGTTGACTGGATTAGTTTGACTTCAGTATAGCTTTCTAACTTCTGAGTTGTCTCAACTGGTTAGAATATGTGCTGACGAGTATGATTCTGCAGGGCTGCCCAGAGCTTTTTTAGTCTAAAAATATATCATAGATCCTGATCAGAAAAATTGGAAATATGCTGCTTCAGAGAATGAAGGATCTTCAGAGACTTTCTAATACAGGAATGATCTGTAAATCCATAGCCAGTTGCAATTCTTGTAAAGTTAACTTACTTACATTAAAGAAAGGGCAGTTTATCACAACGTTTTAGAACTATTGTATCGTTCACAGGACTGTATTATGTGTTTGGGTGTTTTGCATTTTTGTTTTTTTAGCAAGGATGGAAGTATTCGATTAATCAAAAAGGCCTCTTTAGAGGAGGCCTTTGTGACAAGATAATGGCGGCATATTAATCCTGGGGAAGAATTCATTGTATAACTTGCCTGATAGGCAAATTTTGGAGGACATTAGAGTATTCTCTGTGTCCTTAACTTGAACTCTCACAAGAATAAGGTCATACTAATTAAACTTTTTTTCCCACACGTTTTGTTCATGTGTGTGGGTACTTTCAGTCTTTGCTAGCTGCCTCGTGGAACAGAGGCTAAAGCCTAAGGATTGGGTGCTTCCATCTGGTATTTTTGGGTGGATACAAATGCAGTCTGCCTGCGTTCTGGCTGACAGGAAGATGTTCAGGCATGGTTCAGGTGGTACTTAGCCTGAGCCAATAAGCCTTCTTAATACCTGTTACATGGCCTGAGTGCTGAAGCCACAGCTAGCCATTCTCTGGTTTCTGCCAGAATTTGCCTGTAAAATACTATATAGGCACACTTTACTTATTCTCAGGTTGGTAACATGGTCAATTTGCCATGTGAATTTTTATTGATCAGCATAAGCACTACTAATCCTTTGCTGCCTTCCAGTGATTTTTTTTTTTTTTTTAAGGACTGTTAATTACTGCCATAGCACTAAATGGCATGTGAGCTGTGAGAGATGTCTCTGATGGATGCAAGAATTTAACCTTTGTTCAGGAGTTTGGGGCCTGCTCTAGGTCCTTCTGTGGCAGTATGTAGTGTTGTCAAATTACTCTACTTGTAGACTTACTCCAGAGCAACCTACTTTGCCGTGCAGTTGCCTAAATCTGTGTATAAACTTAAATAGCTGCCTTCACAGTGAGAAGGAAATCAGGTAGCCTGTGTGTTGTAAAGGAATGGAGAGAAGCATTAGAAAAAGAACAGAACAGAGGTAGTTGGTAGCCTAGAAATTTGAGAGTACGTTCTCAGCCTGTTAACTTTTAAGTTCAGAGGATAATGACAAGATGTAATCTAGGACAAACTGACTTTGGAGGTGAGAAAAAGGCCAGAGCTGTGGATTAGGTGGATGATGACCTGGCGTTCCGTTTTGGGCAAGCTAAAGACTAGGCAGAAATGCAGGACGGTTGTCATAGTTACTGAATTCTTGAGGTCTGAAAGCTCTTAAACATTTGTTTGCTGCCTAGTACTCGCTTGGATGGTAGCTATATAGTCGTCATTGCTGCAAAACAGTGGGTAGTGCATATAAAACTGAAGAAACGTCAGTAATAAAAATTTCAGAATTAAAATCTGGATTTCCCTCCTTTTAAGGAAGTTGTTTTCAGAAACCGACAAAATTATCCACTTACTCTTCACTTAAGAAGAGGTTGAGAATTCCCTATCGTGGCATTTTTCTTGGGGTAGTTGACAGTGCATAGATTAGTGTCTGTCTAGAGAACACTAAATCTTTAATATCTGCACTTTCAGTATTCACAGAAGGATGTTTGTGTTTGAAGCCCCATTGAATTGATGCAAGATTTTAATGTGACGGACAAAATATAAATAGGTTCGGGGATGTGCTGCTTGTTTTCCTATATATTCTTCAGATTATCCTGTGCACAGCTTTGATGGACGAAAAAGAATGATTCTAAGCACCATCTCATGGATGGGAGGCAAAAATCCCTTTTTGGGAATTGCTTACATCACTGTGGGGTCTATATGCTTCTTTTTAGGAGTTGTATTGCTGATCATCCATCACAAGTACGGAAATCGAAACACTAGTGCAGACATTCCCAATTAATCTTGCATTCTGAAAACCAATGTACTGCATGTGCATCAAGGCCAGTCCAGAATGGACCCAGTTTTTAAAAGCTAAATCTCTGCTTATGACACTTCTGAAACTGGGTGCATAATTTCTGTTTGATCTAAAACCTCCTTTTCCCCTCGCTGTGGATTAACTCTTGAAAATGACGGGTATACAATTAACTGTATTGATTGTATCTCTGCTTATGTCAGAAATGACTTTCTGATGTTTGCCTCTAACTGGGCGGGCCACATGATGCATATAGCTTCTGTTCCCTTGATGCATCTGCTGCTTGTTTATGTGCTGTGTAATGTCAGTATGATTCAGTACATATAGATTGCGTGGAGAAAGACTTATGACATACTGTGTAAATTTTTAAGAATTTTCAGGATTCAGGTGTCAGTGCTGTTGAAAGGAAAAGTCAAGTCTTTAATGTTTTTTCAATTTACTGTGTTGTGTGCATGGGCTTTCATGTTTCTTGCTGAGATGTTAATATATTTATATAAGTTGTTAAATATTTTTTTTCCTGTGTCCTACCCCACTCTGTTATGTTAGATACTCAAAGTGCAGTGTAAATTACAGCACTTGGGATTCTTTTTATATTTACAAGAGATGTGCCTGGCCAGTAAACTAGCATCTTGTGAAGATACCGGAAAACCTATTTGTTAATTATCTGCATGAGTCCGTTCTAAAGTGTGATCTAAATTGGGAAGCGTTTGTTGCAGGTAAAACCTGCTTTGTTCTAATTTTCTTTCCTTTAATTCATTTCTAAGACTAGTTTACCTATTGTGCTTGCTATTTTTGCTTTTTACGAGCAGATCCAAGCATTAATCAAGAAGAAATTAAAATATTTTTGTTTCCATTCATAAATCTGGGTTGGATAGTTCTTTTACTGAAGGAGTTTCCTTATTTTCTTGAGGCATATATATTCCTAGCAGGCTTTGTTGTAAAGGAAATGTCATACTCTGTTTCCTTGTTTGGAGTAAACAATACATGAAATTCTTGTGGTGTTGAGATACTGAATTACAGCAATTTAAAAATTGAGATGACAGTACCTTCTCTTTCAAATACAGTTTGAGCTTGCTGTGAAACCTAATTGAAATGTTGCAGTTAGAAGCAAAGAGCGGGTTAGTGTCTTAAATCGTATTACTGAAGGGTTCACTTTTTGGGTTACTTCCACATTAACTGTAACCTGTAAACTATTATTTTTGGTGACTATTTTTAGACGATGCACAGAAATTGTAATGTATATGGTGGAGATCACTTTATATGCGAGTAGCTTGATAAAGTATTGAATATATATTAAAAAAACTAATAAATTCTGCAAACTATTTACTAAGATATTTTATTTTGTTCTTAAAGATGCATTTCTTTCACCTGGGTGAAAAGATTAAGTGTGAATCTGATTCAGGCAAGTTATATTTCTGGGGTTGCATATTTGTTACAAGGTATTTATTCATGGTCTCACAGCCCAATATATAGCCAACTTCTAAGCAGTACTGTATTAATTTATCATGTATACATGTGACCATTTTTGCTGAATTATTTCTTTTGTGTAAACTTTTTAAGCTAGCAGTTGTAATATGTAAGTTTGTATAAACTGTGGAATGAGGCTAGCTTTCCATAACTGCATATAATAATTTATTTGCATAATACAGTGATGCAGCATAGGGCCATTTAATAGCTGAGTCTGTTTCAGATTCTACAGTGTTGTACTTACATGCTGCTGGAGTTACAGAATAAGGGTATCAAAGTTAACTTAAGATATTTGTATATTGCAAGGCAGAAAATGTTAAATAAACTAGCTTTTCATCTGTAGAGTAGTTGCTATTCTAGAACTTACTGAGCAAGCAAGGGGACTTCTCTCAGTTACTGGTTATTAACATATTTTGATTTTTAAACTGAATGTTTGTCACTTTAAATGTGAGTATGTTTTGTTTCATTCATAATTCCTATCTTTTTTTTCTAAGTAGGGTATGCTGCCTTTTGGGCTGCATTCAAAATTAAAAAAATGTTTTTCTAGCTCTACCTTGAAAAATGCTTTTCAATACCTTACCTTTTTTGTACCGCACATAGCTGTCAGTGCTTCTCTGATATTAATGAAGTGCACCAAGATTAGTATTGCTGTTTCCTTTTTGTTAAAATTGAACTTTTTTGTCTGCCAGTCTGTAGCTGTATGCAGTATGCCTGACAAACTTAAAATGCCTGTAAAAGCATAAACTGTGTGGTAAAATTGGTGAACTCTTCACCTTTTCTCGTTTGTCTTGGTGTCACATTGATAATTAACTTTCAGTGTGCTTGGACTCTTTTATTTTTTATAAATTACCCATATGTAGTGTGTTCAAAGGTCAAACCACAGTGACCCTAGTAACTGACACTTCTCAGGGGCAGTGTTCAGTGTCACGTGTTTGGATTTTACTGCCTGTGACCTGGTTCTGCAGTGGCATCTTTCAGAGGCGTTTGCTACCAGGGTTCACTCAGAATAGTGAATCCTCCTTCTGAATTCCGGTTGTGTGCTTTCCAAATCCATCCAATTGAGGCAGTGCCCGAAGTGTGAGAGCTAGTAAGCTTCCTGGAGGCTGCTGTTGACGTGGGAGCCTGCTTAATGAACGAATCTTTCCTGGAAAGAGTAATTTGGGAGGCTGAGATACAGCCCTGTCTTTTGCAAGACTTCTGCAAAAGAAATTCTCCTGCGCGAGACTTGCTTTCTAAGCACTGTTCCACTCTCTCTCTAAAATCTTCATACTGATAACAAAGCAGATTGTCACTTCAGGTATTTTATTTTATTTTATTTTATTTTTAGCTACATCAGGCTATTTGGGAGTTGTCAGTTGTGCTTTGCTGAGACAGAGCAAAGAGTTCATTAGCTTGTAACTGGAATGAGAAGGATACTTCAGACCTTTACCTCCCAAGGTGACATTGGTACAGAAACTAGGTTCTCAGCAGCCTGATTTTGCTTTCATTATGAATGTAAAACCTTGAAGAATGGAAGCCTTATCCTTTTTTTTTTTTTTCTTCTGTAAATGGAAATCTCTTTGGGAGGAAACAATATGACAATCTAGTGTCAGGTAGCATCTGCAAGCACATGTATTTGCTTGACTCAGTCAAATAGAACAGTGAACGTGATTAGCATTTGGGCTGGCTTCAACAGCAGGCGTTACTGTGCTTTTCTCTCTGCGCTGCTTGCAGAGGGAAGATGAGGATTGCAGTGTATGTAGACACACGCGTGTCCAAGATTCAGTTGAAATGAGCGTCTAGTGGAAAGACGTGATTAAGCCTAAAGCTGAACGTACATAGTTACTTTAAAAAAAAAAAAAATGGGGGGGAGGAGGTTACTGATTGTAATGCAACCACTGAAGACAAAGAACAAGTTGTAACCATACAGCAATCTGGAGGTACTGCAAATGGCCCTGATCTTCAAAGTTTCTGGAACAAGAGTATAATTTCTGCTCCTCTTTCTTGAAAAAATAAAATCAAACCAATCTCATAAGGGTTTTGGATTGTGCATTGACCTAATCAGTGAGGGTTTAAAAAAAAAAAAAAAAAAAAAAGTTCCACGTAAGTCTGAGTTGGAGACAGGCGGGAAGTGCAATGAAATAAATAGACTGAGTTTCTCAAATAGGAGCACAGAAATGGTTATCTGGTATTATCTGTGCTGAAAAGCCTTCTAGAAATTCTCGTGTTGCAAGTTAGAGGAAAAAAGTAAAAAATTCTATGCCAGTTTTGTTCCTGGCTCTCCTCTTCAGCAGCATGGTCAGTTTATGAAAGAGGCTTACATCCTAGTGCTTCTAACAGCATGAAAATGGAAACTAAGGCAGGAAGCCTGTTTCAGTGCCATGATCCTGACTTGGTGGCAAAATGTATTTCTTTTTCAGTATTAACTTTTCCTCAGATCAGCAGAGGTATTTTCATGTAAAAAGACCATAAACTCTAGCTCACAGAATCTGTTCTGATCAGCATAATTCTGTCCATGCCTAAATGTGAAGTCCAACCTTACTTGAAAGTTTTGATTTAGGCAGAAGTCCATTAAGGTATGGTCTGGTAAGAACTAGCAGCCTTATATGAGCTGAGTCACAAGCAAGAAACCACCTTCTTCTGAGCCTCCCACTTCAAACTCACTCAACCTGTGTTTTGAAATAAAGTAATACTGTAGGTTACTCTTGCCCATCATTTGAGTTTATGCCAACTGCTACTGCAAAAGTCCGAGATTGCTGTCAAAAATGATCTATTTCACTTCCTTTTGGAAATAAAATGAGTAGGTATAAAAGCGTGAGTCAATAATTATTGAAGCTCAGGAAGGTTTAAAAAAAAGTTTTAACTGATTTGAAACAAAGTGGGTGGAGATCTCTATTGCTGGGCCATGCTAGTGGAGAACTAAGTGACTGATTGCTCAGCATTGTTTAGACTTGGGCTGTTCTGGGCTTGGGAAAACACCTTAGAATTCCTAGTCAGCTGGTAAAGTCAAGGTCCTTTAATGTTAGGATGCGGCTGTGTAGTCTATGCAACTTGGTACTGCGGTAATACAGAGATTCTAGTTAGCTGCAGGTTACCCTCTTCAGAGCCACATCTAGCCGAGAGCAGACAGCTGCTTGCTGTTTTTTCAGCATGCTAACTCTGAAACAGCTGGACACTGAAAGCAGGCTGCCTGGGGCAAAATCCCAGAAGCCTGCTGCTTTTCTGTGTCTAGGCAATGTTTAAAGTAGTCTTTCCAAGGAAGCTATGGACTTGGTGTAACAATGTGGGAAATGCTGGGCATAAGTCCAAAACCCCCAAACGTTGAGGCTTACACTGTGATAAAAAGATAATATTGGCAAATTCTTTTATTGCAATGTTAGTATGTTAAACAACTCAAAATTACCTGGAAGCTGATTACACTAAGATAAAACATGGCATGTTTTCTTTCTTCACACACAATGCAGCCTTTAACTGGGGTAGTTAATTTTTTCTTGTGAACAAAGTATCAGTGGGCAGGCAAGGCTGAGGAGGAACCTTTAAAGAAAAAAACAAAGTCATTCTAACTCTTCCTGCTCTGCCTGAGGTTTCCGACTCCACGTTTGGGTTGAATGTTGACTCTGTTGTGTGGTTTTTTTCTGGCAGAGGATTCATCTACTTTCCTATGATCATTTTAAGAGGTAAAACCAATTTTTTTTTGGTGACACCTGGTTATTAGCTTACAGATTAACAGTCGCATTTTCATTCTTACTTGGACAAAACTGTTTGACAACCAGATTTTGATTAACAATTTCATTAATTTTCAATAAAATACATGCAAAAGTTACTCTAGCCTGTTAGGAACAGTAGCTGGTTTTCGCATCTTAGCTGAAATATTCTCACCCTGAGGTTGCAAGTTGTCATTTCTCTTCCTTTCCCTCAAGCTCACCTATTCATAAAATACTCAACGCTGAAGACACCAGCTGTGATTGCTCTGAACAGCCCTTTTGTAGCTTTGAAAACCCACATATTAAGCTTAAAGTAAGGCCTTTCTGATGTATTTTGAAAGGCAATAGCACTGAAGCACAGATTTGGACATAGCTGCGTATTGTCTACGCAGCAAAAATTATTAATTATTTCTCTCAGGGTTATGATCCTTTATTAGTAGTGTTTATAAATAACAGTATATGAAGATCAAAATATGAATATTGTATACATTCATAAGATGAATGCTTTGCAGAGTAATGAATGGAGAACTATTTTACAGTAGTAGTAATGTATTCTGTGTTACTCTATAATAGTACTGCTAGAGTGTTTGGAAACTATTTGTTAAACAATGAGTCCATGCTCCTCCTTTGTGACAGAACATCATTTTTCTCTACACTTATGCTTTCTAAATGGTATTTTTAATACTCCACTCAGCTAAGACTACACCTGTATACCTTTCTATCTTTGTGTTTTTAATTGCTTTCTTTTTAGGGCAGCTCATCAGACTGAAAAGTGCTGTGCTTTGAGATACGATTCTGGTTATTTCCGTACTAGGCTGAGCACTAATTTGCTGTGTTTGACACGTTTTTCACCATGAGGTTTGGCACCAGTGCAAAAGCAGTGCAATGTCAAAAACTTGAGTGTATTGCAACTGCAGCAAAGCCAGGAAATACCGTTCCTGACAGTGTCATATTTCAGTATGAAGCTGAAGCATGAGAAGATGCAATTATGGGGCTGGATCTGCAATGCAGAAGAAAAACAGGTTTCTCAAAACACTATTGCAAAGGTCAAATAGATTCTTCAAATAGGCCTGCATTTCATACAAATCTAGCACTACCTCACTGTCTGTTATCATAAATTGTCAATCATAAAACTGAAGTTAAGACTTTTTTTTTCCCTTTCGTAGAGTATTAAGTATTCTTGTTAGAGAATGTGTTAGTTCCTTCTGTGTAGTGGCTCAGCAGGGGCTACCAA